AAGACGATCGAAGCGAAACGCAACAAAATAGCGAGGGTGGAGGAAAAGCCCCTGGGGAAAAAAGGCAGCGTTCGGGAAAGTAACAGAGCGTAGCGAGATGAAAGCCAGAAAAAGGACGGATAAGAATAATCGCGATGCCACGTTTTCGCGAGTGAAAGAGCCGTCTCAAAGGATTTCGCGTCGCGCGGGAACACACGGTTTGACGAAACTCGCGCGAGCGGAGCAAAGCGAGGCAGAAATCGCGACGGAGGTTTTAATCGCGCGACCGTCGAGACGGGGGAGGGGGGGAGAAAATATCCAAAATCGTGTCGCTTGATAATGGTAAAAACTGACCAATTTCTGTCGATTCTCATTGACGTTCGTGGACTGCTCGAGCGAAAGGAAACGAAGAAAAAGCGGGCGAGGATGCAAAGCAGATTGGTTCGTGGAAGAGTTATTTTTTTGTCGGAGGGGATCGATAAAAATCAGGGGAACGGGTACGCGAGCGGGTCGTCGATGGTCTTATTGTCAACCGCGTATGAAATTGGCAAAATACCGGTAAAAGAACAACTCGCCTCGTCACGCTATCGAATTATACGCGGCGGCGGCAATCAATGTACATTCACGGCTCATTGATTACACGGCGCGGCCGTACGAATGAATAGACCGCAAGAAAGCAGCCGCGTGTCTTTAAGCCCGAACAAACCAGAGCAACCCGAACACGGCCACCGGAAACCCAGTTGCCATAACGATCAGTCCTGTACCGGAATCGAGCGCGTATTTTCAACGGAATATTCCGTCAGAAATTCCTTCGAACTTGGAAAGCATGGAATAAAAGATGAACCATCCCTTCGTTCGTCTCTCGCGAAATAAAGATTAATATTCGTGCGTGTAGAAGTAAATATTTCACAGTAACGTGGAAAAGTTTCTAATCGTTGGAATGGTAATTACCCTGTGTAAGACTCGAAACGATCGCTGCACGAAGAAAGTTATGACGAGCGGGGTAAGAAACGCCGCGAAAGGGATAAATATTGCGGGCAGAGAAGTGTGACCTATCTCGATGCACGACGGTATAGTAGTGCGTGCATTCTGAGCGGGGATACCGATGCCAACGCTACCGCGAACGAATAAATATGCCCGACACGGTTTTTCGAGCATCGAGAACGCCGATTCGCATAAATAATCTCACCAACGAGGCTACTGCCATTTGCTCGTCACGCGCGATTCTCCCGACGCGCATTCGTGCCGGCGTAATTTCCACGAGATCGACGTTGGTCACGGAAAACGCATCGGTAACTCGTATACGTAACCAGCCCCCGAACCCTATTACTGGCACATTGGATCGAACCTCGACCACACACAAGCCTCATATTCATACTAAAATCTATAGCTAAGAAACTGTTATGCCCCCGTAATCTATACATGCGTCTACTCCAGCTGTGATTAAGTGGAACAATCACCTGGAAAGAGGGTGGGGCTTTTTGAAGACACCTTCAAACTCTATTAAATTTCCCAATCTACTCCCAAATATGGTACCTAAATCGATAGCTAACTCTGAGACCCCAACGGGTCGAAAAAAATATCACACAGGATTAAAAAAACAAATTTTTCTGACGCACCAGAGGACGTGGGAGTCTCTAAAAGGTAACTGACCCAGGACTCTCCGGATCACCGAGAGACTCTGCCTGTGGCTTCGATCGAAACTTTGTAAAAGGGAAACTCGTTTGGCGAGTGCTTTGCAGATCGCGACCAGCAATTCGCTCCTGTCGAGTTTTTCATCGAATCTCGATCGGCAAAAGTGGTCGAATCCGGTTGGCGAGCAGGGAAACTCGACCGCGTGTTCGCAGCTTTCGTCGCCGAGAAACAAAAGACCAGCAGAGATGGAAAAAAAGAATCCCGCGATCCGCGAGACGCGGAGGAAAGGGCTGGGGGTCGGGTCCGCGGGAAAACCGAGGGAATTCGAAAGTTCTTTCTAATTAGATTTGCGGCCGCATCGAACGATACACGCGCGCGCGCGGCCATATAAGATGTAACCGAATGGTAACGTACAATCTCCGGTAATAAGTGCAACTGGCGCGCTTGGCCTGGTATGCGAGTACGGTACACGTGAACGCCCACGGAGTACGCTCGACGCCGCTGTCGGGATCCTCGTTAATCCGCAAACGAGTCTCGAACGGTCCGGAGATGAGCGAAATTTTCATCCGAATACCAATCTCGGCCCGCGAGTAGAAAATTAAATACCACCATGGCTAAGGAGCATCTCGAAACTTTCCTTATTTCTCCATCCCTTGGAAGCAATCTGCTAATTACGTTAACCGTGGAAGTTTTGGAAGCAACGATCTTGGCGTAGCCATCGAGTAAACTGTCGAAGACCGATTCCGTTTCGGACCGAAGAAAACGGCTCTCGAACGTGGAATGGACCGGGTAAGAGTGTCTTTTTCGTCGGGAGAAAGGATGTAAAACTTTCTTCCCCGAAGGGGGATCGTCCGCGGGAACCTTTTCGCGCAATTACGCGGCTCTCGCAACAGTTTCGCGCACGAAACGGCAAGCGAACGCGCGTTAACCCGATTTCTTGGAGCGCCCGACAAAATCGCCGTTGAATCGTGAACCGTAAATCGTAACTCGCGCTCAACTATGCAAGAAAAGTTTCTACTCGGGAGCACTCGCAACGCGTATCGTAATTTCGATGAATACGCGTCGCACTTTAACGGAATCCACTAGTGCTCCGCGAATGAAAGAGAACTTTGCCTTGGTTTCCCTCGCGGAAAATACAATAATCTCCCTTCGATGCGGGTCCCCCACGTGGCCCGTCACCGGAAATCTGTTGCTCGTATTGATCTCGTTCGAAAACTCGGGTAATTTCCGTTCTGTCGCTTGTAACGCGTTCACGGGTAAGTTCGTCCGTTATCGGTTTGCCCCGGTTCGTCGTATCGCAGCGTTATACCGGCGAGCGTACGCTCGGAAAATAAACGAATCCTCGGTTCGTTGTGAGAATCGACGAAAGAAACAGCGATACCTCATGGCGGAAACAAAGTGTTATTCTTTCGGCGGGCAAGAAATTGATTCGATGCGCGTTTCTTGCGGGACGATCGATCCGATCGAGTTTGTTTCCTGGGAGTCTACCGGGACAAGAAACACGACGAAATACCACAAGACACGGATCGTTTTAAATGCAAAAACCGAGAGTACCGTTCGTCCGAATCGCGACGCCTTTCAACACGCCCGGACACGCACGCGTTTCTTTTTCCAGGATCGCGAGACGATTATGGAAAATCGCACCACGTTCCAATTCGGTTTACGGATCCGATACGATGGAAAAAAATTTCTATCACGGCGAAAGTCGTCGTCGTAACGATTCCGTTTTATTCGGAGGAAAGATCGATCGCTGTAACGTTACCCTATAAGCGGACCAATTCGTCGCCATGTATCGAGACACTACTGCACGCGCTTACGTAACCGGGAAACAACGCATCGCGAGACTGGAAAACGTAATCCTCGTAAGAGAAGAAAGTATCGGTCGGAATGGTGGAATTCCATAGGATGGGAGAAGCTCGAGATGATCGCGCGCCCGCGGTCCGATCCACGGCTGATTCAGCGGTATCGCCCGCAGGAAATAAGATCGCTAGGATGGTCGATCGATCGTTAGCGGAGCCGTTATCGCCATTAAATATGGCGCGTGTATCGCGCTGGTTTAAACGTTCATCGCGACTCGCCCCGATGATGCAAACAGCGACCGATTCGTTCCTCGCGCAGCCTCTCTATCTTCGTCTCGTTATCTGCATCGTAACGCGGTATCGCGTTGCGCACCGACGCTGCCCGACGCCGATAAGCGTCCATGCCGGGAAAACGGCCACGATTACGCGGACCGTCGATGGGTTCGCGATTAATCGGAAGGTACCTCGAGTTCCGGGAATCTTTCATGGTCGCCTGGACGCACGAAGATAGACACTGTCCGCGGAAAACGTTTCTAGAATCCTCAAAACAGCATTCCGTCATTTCGGAATCGACCGAAACTCGTCGGGACTGAATCATCGTCCGCTGTGTACCGAGTTTCGAGATAAAATTTAAAACCGTACGGTTCCGTACATCGTTTCAAGTCCTCTGACAGACGAATGACGTTTCGTCTAAAAATAATCGTCATTAGTTGCAGGTGCGCGCGCCTTTTGTGAAGGAGAACGAACAAGGCTTCCAGGAACAACGAGCGATTACGCCGTATTGTGTTTATGGCAGTTTTCGATGCTCGCGATACACGCGATTCGACGTACCGCGATATCAAGACGTTTCGGGATACACGACGCGATTAGCTCGGGTCACGAACAATTAATTACGTGCACCTTTCGCGTACGAATGATCTAACGTTACATCGGAAAGAGTAGGATTCCTATTGGAATATCAAATAATCGATTATTTCACGAGTAACGGAAATTCCTCGAAATTTATTGTGTAAAGAAGAGAAAGAGTTCCAATCGTGTTCGATGTTTCGTTTCAGCGCAAGAATTTGAGAGTTTGAACGCACAATAAAAATGGTTAAAAGCGACCGTGGTTAGAAAGGACGTGGTCTTGGAAGGTGGCGGACGCTCGAGTGGACATTTTCTGGGTGGTCACCCGAGCTAACCACCGTGCTACGACAAGTTTAACAGACACTAAACGCTTAGGTTCGAGCGTAACTTGGCGTTTATCGGGGGGGGGGGGAAAAAAGCACGAAGGGAACGCAGCAACGCAGAGAGTCGTAATTGGATCGAAAAAAAGTGTTAACCTGGCCGGGGAAAAGAGAGTTTGTTGCCAACTATGCAGAGCGTAACAAAACCGCGCGTCCCGAGGCTCGAAAGTGGCGGATCTGGGCCGCTGTCGCGAGACAAAAACTTACAACTTGCCATGAATCGAGACGCGTTTTCTAAACGCTCTGTACGTCGATGCAACGGCAGGAAAGTAGGCGAAGCAAGAGTGGAAACGTTGAAGAAAAAAAACTAGGAACAAAAGTCAACTGTTAATTATTGTGTTGCAAGGCTGAGCCTCGATACCTATTAATATATCCGTGATCCTTGAAACAACTCGTCTGTCTATCAGCGTTGGATCGATTCCTTAATACGTCATCCTTGGGCCCAAGTATAATTTGGCGATTTCCGGACCCTTTCGTCCTCGAGAAAGTCGAATTTCGTCCTAAAATATTTCTCTGAAACGAGAAATGCTCGTCGTTAACTGACACTTTCCTGGACATTGTAAAACAGGACTGGGGGAGTCCTTGGAGAAATTTCTGAGCAAACCAGAGGATATCGACGACGAATTTCCTCGGACACTGGAGGCTCCTGCGGAGATCCTGGAGGATCGGTAGCACCGTGACGAAAACGAACGGGTAACTATCGACGGGAGCACGTATCGCGACGCCGAACCGCTCAACTCGAAGCAGAGAGAAGAACTGAGCGACTCCGATAGGCGTACACACGCGGTGCGAGCAACATTTCGCTACATTGTGGACCGCTTCCCGGTATATCGTCTTCGGTTTCGAATTGCAGAGACGTCGACGGATACGAGTCGGTGGACCGAGTTCTCAGGCATCGTCAGCGTCGTTGGCGTCGCGATAACGCCGAGCTCGACTTATCCGAATCGCTCGAACGCGAAACGAAACCTACGGGAATGGCAAAGCGAGCGACGGAGACGACGAACGCGTTCAAAGTGCCCGAGAGCAGTTCCAGTAACGCGATATTTACGCATTCCTCGCGCTATCGCTACGCTGGGTGTTTATTCGTGCTACTCGTTGAAAAAGCAAACACGCGCACGGGGTCGCGGGGAACGAAAATATAATGTCAGCAGTCGACTACCGAGAAACGAGGTTTAGAATTTTGGGAGAAATTAACTACGAAAAAGAATTCGTATGATCATCGATCCTGGATTAAGGAAAAAGAGACTCCGCGATGAGGAGAATGTGGACAGGCTGACTAAAATGTCTGACCAAACACTGGTCACCGTTCCTTCCAGGGCTGATCTTTCTCTTTGGTCTACACTTGCAATTCCTTTTCTGAAATGTTCTGCTCCCTACGTCGATGGTTCTAAAAGAATAATTTATTGTAAACATGGATGGTAACTGTGAACAATGGCGTATCTATGAGATCGCGTAGCTCGAGGACTCACTGTAACGACAATGCGCCAAGGTTGCTCGATTCTGACTCGTACTCTATCTTTGTCGCTACACGATTCATGGTTTATTTATATTATCGGAGTTTTGATTAATCAAACCCTGAGAAAGTAGCTTCTCTTGGCGTGGATTACGAAAATTACGAAATATGCTGCGATGCAGTAATTTTCAGCCGGATCATTATGGATCGTAAAAAGCGTTTCCGGTGTTACGTGTGCACACGTAACGACGATAAACATAGCACGGAATATGACGAATGTTCGGAATACGCTTCGGTCAACCATAAATAACCGCGTACGTATACGAATACTTTTTACCAAGGGGATAATTCCGTAAAAAAGCTTACCCGATGGCTCTGAATTACGATCGTGAGAATTCGCGAGCGAGGAAACGCAACGTGGTCAATTAAATTCTCGCGTCGGACGAGTGTGTTCGTTCCGCCGCGATAGGACGAACGACAACAAGATGAAAGAGAGACGAGGGGGTGGCACGAGCATTACCATAGTCCTGTCGACGCGATCGAAACGAAACATCGAACCGAGCATGTACTTTACCTCTGTCAAAGAAAAAATTACCTGACGTGCACAGCGGCGATTAAACGGTTCGGACAATTCGAGGGGGAACGATCGGCTGCAAATATTTACCTGCAAATTTGCTCTTCCCCGATTAAATTCTCGCTAAACAAATTTACGCCGATGGAGGAGGGCGGTGTTTAGGTGTTGGATAAACTTGGCGACGACGCTTGATGGGATAAGGCGACCAGAGATCGAAGAAAACGGCTATTCCTAGTTCTGTTACTCGTATCTGATTCGGTAAATATAGCTTTGTAGCACTTTGTGTTAAATAATACTCTCTCTAACGAAAGGGATACTTTTATACAGGGTGTTCGGCCACCCCTGGGGAAAACATTTTAATGGGAGATTTTAGAGGTTAAAATAAGACGAAAATCAAGAATATCAATTTGTTGATTGAGGCTTTGTTAAAAAGTTATTAAAAAATTTCAAATCATTTTGAAAAAATTATTCCTAGTTAGGGGGGTCAATTGCAATAATTTTCGGTGAACAGACATACCCCCGAAATCCTAACCATTTTCGAGAAAAAAATTCCCCTAGGTGTGAAATTTTTCGACAAAATTAAAAAATTTCAAATCATTCTGAAAAAATTATTTTCGGTTGCGGGGGTCAATTGCAATGATTTTCGGTGAGTAGACACACCCTCGAAATCCTACGTACTTTCGAGAAAAAAAATTCTTTATCAAAAAATATATGTACTGTGCGACTGGAAATGTTTTTATAATTTTTTAACGCAGCCTCCCATTAAAATTTTCCCCATTGAATAGGGCTTGAAATAATAACTGTAGCTGGTTTCTTTCGCGAATCTTGTTTGTTCGGAGAAACGTTACGGTGACTCGTGGTGGAACGAATGATCGATTAGCGTTCGCGAAAAGGTAAGACATTGTTTCCTGTATCCGTTTTGCGATACGAAGCAGAAACGTTGCGTGTGTTTCCAAGAGGAGGAAGCACCGGAGGAGATGCGTGAGAACCAAGAGCACCGCGGGGCCGTTTAATTGCGTCGCGGCGCGTAAACGTATCCTCGTGAACGCGTACGCAAAAGCGGCCGTGGGTTCGCCGGTACGCACGCATATCGCGGAACGCTAATTACCAGCGCTGCCCGGGCCTCTGTTCGATCGCGGCCGTGTTAGAAACCTTTGCAGGTGTAAGTTACGCGATAACAGTGCGCCGGGTTACGAACCTCGCGCAAAAGGGCGCGGCGCGATCGCGAGCGCGTCGACGCGTATTGCGCTACGGGGATGCGCATTCCCGACCGTTTCGTGCCTCTATGCACGATTCCCCCCACCGTGACTCTTAATCCCCCCACTCATTACAGGCTCCTATGTTAGAATTAATCTCAGAATTTACAATCTATGTATGGAACAACGAGGGTGGAGCTGCACTCGAATTTGAACGATGAAACGACGGACTTGTTCCGCCCCAGAATTGATACGAGAAATACCTGAGACGAGAAGTTTACTGGAAGTCAGCCCGTAGATTCGTCAAAGTTAGGTTACGACTTACCTGAAACAGAAAAGAAAAGAAACAGAGTCAGCGACAAAGAATAATTTAGGAGAGCTTGATAGTAACCAGCGAATAACCGTATTCGCGGATAGATTAGTCTATTAGCTCAGCCGTTTCCAGCGGACGCGATTCCAATTTCAGTCGTCGGATAGCCGCACGGAGTCCAACGAATTGTGATCCTTCCGATACAGTAAATTTTCCACGCATGGTTGTGCTCGCGTCGAACGCAAACTACGTAGGAATTATTGCACGCCGGTGTACGTACGGTTCAGCGCTAATTACAAACGAGGTACACGCGCTCGGTACAACGTTTCTCCACGATCGTAGCCCTATTAAGAAGCTTTTACCAGTGGTAAGTTACCTCTCCGCCTTGGAATCGGGTTATGAACCTCGCGTAGCATAAGCGTGACTGCGCGCCGTTCAACGATACCCGTTCCTCGTCTTCCCTTTTTGCCGCACGATCCGACGAAAACGACTTCCCATTCAGGGACAACGATCTAAACATCGGTCCTCGAACCATCTTCAGGGACACGATTACGTAAACATATGGTTCCCAGGTAAAACACGTTCCAAGTTTCACGCGAGCCTTCAAGGTGTGGACACAACCGTTCTTGTTGACACAACTGTCGCGCTTTCTAACGCGATGGATGGCTGAAATTAACACTGTGTCTCCGCGGCGTCAACAAACGTTTCGCGAACTAGAGTTCTTACGATAACTTCGTGGAATTACGATCCGTTTTACGATCATATTTTTTTTAAAAACGATGTACGCGCAGATGGAGGTAATTTCGATACTCGTAGCTGGAAAAAGGTCCCGATTACCGGTCGTAGGTGGGGGAAACGGTACACGAGCGGGCGAGCCGTGCAAAAAGCAAATAGGAACGAGGGAAAGAAACGCGCTCCCGGAGAAAGGTTTTTCGATATCATTGAAAAGCTGGCACTGACGCGAGCGAGCGCTTTCACGCTGATTAAACGGTCGTCGGTGTGATAATTGCCGCGATACGCCAATTAATTCGACTCTCGTACGCGAGACAAGCCTGGCTTTTTCCCCCCTCGTAAGAGATGACACATCGTAGCTGACCTGCTTAACGCTCGTTAATTCGTGTTATCGATTTATCAGCGACAACGAGACCCGCCGGTTGCGGATCGTGGCTCGTGGATTTAGCAGATTTCAATAGGTTTCGATCGCCTCGGGGGCGAATTATTTCCGTGAATCGTGACCCGGATACGTTAGAGTATCGCTCGAGTAATTTACCCGAGTGCGTTATTTCAGGGTGTGAACGCCGTAACCGTGCACAGCACGTCCAGCGCCGAGCTATTATTATTACCAACGGTGCAACACCCATTAGTTTCTAATATTTACATTCCTAGATGCACTATTAGACGGCAATCACGTTGATTCATGAAATAGAGAAAAAGAAAGTACGCGGATAAATCGAAAGGCTACGTATGTGGGGCAAGGTTGTCTCGTTCGAACTGCATCGATGAACGTGTAGTTTTTGATGCGATACAGAGTTCAATTTATTCTTTAATAATGAATAATCGAGCGTAGAGGGTTGATCGTCGCGTTGGCCCAACGATGTGAGAAAAAGGGGGTAAAAATCGTTCGATTCTTTCGTTTCGCTATCACGCTTTGCAGGTTTGCGCGAACACTCGCGTTCAAAACGATTTTCCATGCTTTCTCGAGGGTTTCCCGCTCGGACGGGTCCATGTTGGTGGCGCTCGATGGAGAACGCTCGCGGTTGTTCGGTTTATTTATGTAAATGGATGGTAATCGGGATTAATGGACGCACGATGCCGCTGCGAATCGAGGGGCTTATTAACGGTTATTGGCGCTAAATCGGGAGAGGCTGCTTGCCGTCGAGGACAAGCCTCTCGAGGACTATGGTCGCCGAAATTACATCGCCGGTCCCATCGTCACGAACCACCCTCGATCGGGCGTCCATCGATCGGCGGCTACTTGGCTCCGTTTTAATCGAAGACAATTGGTAATCTTGCCCGACGATCGCTTTCTTTATTAGATCGACAATTCGTACTCGAACATTTTACTCGAACAGTAAACCGATCGATGAAACTGACGTACAACAATTTATTCACGACGTTTACTCGATCGAATAGTAAAATATTTAAAAGAACGAAACGTAAAACATTCATTATTACCATCGAGGTACAATGGCTGCCTTCGTTTACATCGGTCGTTTTTTAAATTAATCATTGGAGCAAAATTAAATTCTTTAATAAATCGA